CCATCAAGAGGGCACAGACTTAAAAACACCATGAACCCAAATAAGCTTTGGCAGCAGCATTAAAGGGAGAGAGATCACTGCAGAAAGGCAAGTCGAGGCTTGAGAGCCCTCTCTAGCTGGTGAGAGAGGGTTTGTTTGGGGCTCTTCCTGTAAATGTAGGCAGTGCCTTTCAAGGTGAGCCTGCAAGAGCCAGCAGTGATGGGATCTGCCGTGAGCCCCATCTTCGGAATATGAACATGCCTTGAGTGGGGGTGGTGTTTATGGCCCTTCCCAAGGCAGGAGGCTGGGGTGACCCACGTCCCCCTGTCCCTCCTGCCCTCCCTTCCCTTCCTGGGGACTGACAGAAGGGTTTGGATCTGCTTGAGCAGCTCTAAAACCTGGTGGAAGACTCGGTCTCTGATGATCACCAGGCAGGAGGAGGAAGGCTGCCTCAAGAGAAGACACACAGTAAATTCAGATGGGCTGTGGGGCTGGGGCTTGTCTCCACCTCTTCTTCAGCCTGGAAAGAAAGGGCAGGGCAGGGTTGAAGCACACTTGATTCCTGCCCTGGGCTTTGCAAGTTCATTCACCACATTCCTGGAATGAGAATGAATAACATAAATTCAGCATCTTTCTGCAGACAGCTTCCTCCCTTCCCTCCTGCAAGGGGACTCTCCACCTGGATCCAGTGCTCCGTGGGATGCTGGCAGCGTCACGGGGAGCAGATTTACAGGTTCTGGCCGGAGGGTTTCAGCCAAGTTGTGCTCGTTCAGAGATTTTCCATCTGAGCAGGAGCGAGTTTGTTCCCCCTGCCTGTGCTTTGGCTGCCCCAGGCAGGACAGGAGGGAGGTGAACGTGTGGAGCGTGTGGATGAGGAGCCGAGCTGGCTTTCCCTGCGTGCCCGTGATGTCCGAGGGAACCGGGGCCGAACGCGTCCCAGCGGGTGGCTGGTGCTGGAGGAGAACACGGCGCCCTGGGGACATGGCAGCGCTCGTGAGCTGCTGGATTATGTGTCCAGCCCCTTCCCTGCCCCAGGGGCTCCCTGACAGTGTCCTGAGTGTGCGTGTGGGGCACACGAAAGCTGGGCAGCCGCTGTGCCCTCGGAGCCGCACTGAGCCATGGCCAGCCCGACCTGGGGCCACAGCCTGTCCAGGGCCCCGTGGGACTGGGAGCGCTTAATGTCCGACTGCCCTGAGCTGAACTTTGCCACTGAAGCCTGGGTCTGAGCACATCCCGTTCCTTGGAACACCCTTTCTTTCCCTGGAAAACCCGGCCGAGCGCCGCCGCTGCCAGCTCCCCGCACCCTGGCCACCCTCTGCAGCCCCACCCTGGCTCTCCGTGGGTCTGAGCCCCCGGCTCGGGTCCCTCCAGCTGCTTTCCTGCCCTGTTTTGGCTGGAGCTTTTCGGGAGCTGCGATCCCCCTGCACGGAGGGAGACATCCCGCCTGCCCCGTGGGGGCTCTGCATCCTCGGCATCAGCGTTCAGCCTGCCGGGAAGGGCCGCGGGACACCGGGACACCGGGACACCCATTCCAGATGGCAAGGACAAGGGGGACATCTGGAAACCTGTTTATCGCCGCCGTGACAGCGCTATCGCCGCTGCCTGATACCGGCAGGGCTCGGATGCCTTTTAAAGGCCAGCAGAGAGGAGAGGGTGGCTGGAGCTGCCCGGCCGGGCGCTGACAGCCCCGGGCACAGGCATGTGCTGCCTGACGAGCCTCAGCCGCTGCCAGCCCTCGGCACTCCCGGCCTCTGCTGCTCCATCTTCCCTTCTCTGCTAATCCTCCCTAAGCCCCCGAGCTCCCTTCCTGAGCTGTGCGCTGGTGCTGCGGCCAAGGCTGGGTACCCGCAGTGTCTGGGCTGGGTACCCGCAGTGTCTGGGCTGGGTACCCAGGGAGTTTGGGCTGGGTACCCGCAGTGTCTGGGCTGGGAACCCGCAGTGTCTGGGCTGGGAACCCGGTGAGTTTGGGCTGGGTACCCGCAGTGTCTGGGCTGGGAACCCAGGGAGTTTGGGCTGTGTCAGGTCTGTGTGGCTGCCCCCCAGCCCAGCCCGGCCCAGCCCCAGGCTCCTCGCTGGGGCACAGATTTCCCTCCTGCCCCGTTTCCCCCCCGGGCCAGCCCCGTGTAGCACAGCCAGGAGGGCTGTGGAGAGGAGATGAATTCAGAAATAAAGTGTTTTGCCAGGTTTTGTGAAAGGCTCTCTCTGTTGCATCTCCGTCACCGGGAACTGCTCCCAGCCCGTGAAGGGAAGCCCAACCATTTTTTCCATGAAAATGCAATTTTTCCTGCTTAATGCGAGGATCTGAGGCAAAACTGGTTATAGCTGGGGTGGCCCGCGGGCAGCAGCCATTCTTAACCCCCAGCCCCTGGCTGTGTCTGGAGTTTCAGGGGTGAAAAAAAGAGAAAGCTGTGGCCTGTCACCCTGGGGTGACCTTGTTGTGAGGGACAGAGGGCCCTGGGCATGTGGCCACGCACGGTGCAGCAGCCAAGGCTCTGCAGGCCACACAGGGATCACTGATCTTTGGGCACACCAAGCCAGCAGCCGGGGCTTTTCCCATAACCTCTTTTCATTTTTCTTCCCCCCAGCCTCTTCTTGCCCTGTAACAAATCCAAGGGAGCCTAGGTGCCAGAAAACATGAGAGCAGAGGAAGGCTTTCCAGCCCCAGCTCCTCTTAGGAGCAGCTCTGTCTGGGTCCACGAGTTTTTGTGGTATTTGTATCTGAATGAAGAAAAAAGAGCTGAGGGGAGTTGGCTTGGGGAGGGGGAGAGAGGTGAGCCAAAGGAGAGGCAGCCTGGAGGGAGTTATTCCTGATTTATTCCTCACTTTCCCTTAATCTCTGTGCAGAGCTCTCTGCCTGACCTGCCCTAGGCAGAGGTCCCAGCCTCGCACCTTCTCGGGCTCCCGGGGGTCAATCCCCGCTCCAGGGCCGGGGCCGGCTCGGCAGAGCAGCCCCGGGCGGTGACTGCGGGCACGGCCGGAGCGGAGCGGAGCCAGCACGGACCCAGCGGAGCCCCGGGGAAGGGAGCAGCCCCCAGCAGCCCGGGGAATCCCAGGGGAATATGGGTCACCTCCCTGGGCCGCGGGTACCCGGGCTGGGGACACGGTCCCCTGGGCTGGGACACCCCCGGGCGCTGCTGCAGGGGACACGGCCCGTGCCAGAGACCTCCCCCGGCCGCTGAAAGGCGGCTTTGTCACCGCTGCCAGGGAAACTCCAGCCCAGCCCTTGGGCAGGGATGGGGCCCTCAAGCTTCTGATGGAAAATGCATCCTTTGGTGAAAATTATTAATGTGTTCTCTGGGGAGAGGTCAGGGGTGTCCCTCATGTGCCACCACCCCCTGCCCGCAGCCCGTGTCCCCTCGGCAGCAGGGTGTCCCCGCAGGAGCTCGGCCATCCCTGCCTGCCCAGCCTTGGGTCACCTGTCCTCCAGGACATCCCTGCCCTCCGTGCAGGACCGTGCCGAGCCTAAATCGGGGAAGATTAAGACACGACCAGCTAAAGCCACTTTGCTCCTGAACCATCATATCCGCTTGGGATTTAGCGCATTTGCAGGCAGGGATTCACACCTTTAAGTGATTTGTCTTAATTCCCCCCGGCCTCTAGGCGTGAAAAGCCCTTGCCTGGCACCTTCTGGGTGTCGCTTCTGCAGCATGGCAGAGCCCAGGCTTCCTCCTGTGGTCTCCCCGAGCAGGCTGCTGGGTGGATGAAGCCTTCTCCCTCCTTCCTCAGGGCTGGAACAGCAGCTGAGGCTGCCTCGGAACGCGGCGTGTGGAGGATTTAGACGGGAGACGCTTTTCAGGATGTCCCCTCGGTTCCCAGGGGTGCTGTGCTGTGCTTGTGCTGCCATGGGTGCTTTTGGGCTGCGGACACAGCGGTACCACAGAGGGACCCGCCGCAGTGCTGTGGGACCGTGCCGGAGCACAGCTGCTCTTCGGGAAACCTAAAGCCCCGCAAATCCCCAGCTCCTGCCCTGTCCTGGTGGCCGCAGCCCTGGGCTGGGACTCGCTGGCTCCACGGTGGGACCCGCGGGGCTGAGCCGCCCCCGGTGTGGGCCCGGCCACCTGCCCAGGCAGGGACCCCGGCGGCCACAAAGGCTCTCATTGTTGTGCCACCAGCTGCCCGAGGAGTGACAGGGGTGCCTGCGCCTCCCGAGCCGGCGGGGGCGATGGAGGAGCCGCTCTCGGCCATCCCCGGCCCCTCCATGCCCGGGGTCCCTGTGCCGCATCCCGGAGCCGCGGGGTCCCTTCCCGGGCGCTCGGCAGCTGCCGGCACAGGAGGGAATTCTGTGACAATGGCGGCGGAGCGGGGCCGGGCTCCCGGCCGATGAATAATGCAAAGCTGCGCTTGCGGAGCGGCAGATGTCCTGTTTACCAACACTGCGGTGCAGGGGCACAGCCACGGGCTCTGCCCCCTGTCACCAGCCCTGTCACCAGCCCTGTCACCCCCTGCCCTGCGCCCACCGCAGCCGCTCCGCGGGGCACGATCCGGGCACGGAGGGGCTCCCCCGCCTCGCCGTGGCATCGCGGCTCCTCGAGTATCCTCGCCGTGCCTTCACGGCTCCCTGAGCATCCCTTTGCAGCCGGAGGGGTTTCCGAGATGGGAGTTTCCATGGCAACGAGCGGAATGGCGCCGGGAGCCGGGGGATGCGGGCGCTGGAGCCGGGCAGCGAGCGGGGCTGGGGCGGGGACGGGCTGCGGGGGATGGGAGATGCCCCAGCCCCTCTGCCCGGGACCGGCAGCCCCCACTCATGCCCCGGGGGCGGCTGCTGGCCGGACTCGGCCGGAGAGGCTCCCGGCCGGTGCCTTTGGGGCCGCTAAAAACCCCGCAAGCGGCGTCGCTCAACTACAACCTGTTTATTATGGAGGTTTTTTCCCAGGCAAGAGAAGCCGGGAGCACTCGTGTCCCGACTTTGGTCTTTGGGGATGGGAGACAGGGCAGGGGGTGTTCTCTCCGCCGCCGGGACCGGGCACCTGCTGAGCTGGAGCCGTACCGAGCCCGGCCGTACCGAGCCCGGCCGCCAGCCCCGCCCCGGCTCCCCCCGGGCGGCGGTGGGCGGGGGCCGGGCGGAGCGGGGAGCACGGAGCGGCACATCACAGCACGGCTCGGCACGGCACGGCTCGGCTCGGCTCCGCTCTCCAGTCATGGCATCCAAGTGCCCCAAGTGCGACAAGACCGTGTACTTCGGTGAGCGCATCCCCGGGGCCCGGCCCCGCATCCCCTTCCCCGAGCCGAGACGCATCCCCGGGACCTCAAAGCCGTCCCCCAGCCCAGAGCCGGCGCTCATCCCTGCCCTCCCCTTCCCTGAGCCCCGGTGCATCCCCGCCTGCCCTTTTCCCCACTGGGATGTATTCCCCGGTGTCCGCTCCTCCGCAGTTCCGCGGGGCTCACCCGGAGCGCTGCCCGGCAGCAGCTGCTCTGCCCCGGGGGGGCCGCGGCCCCTCAGCTCCGCTCTGCTCCCCATCCCCTCCGCTCTGCTCCCCATCCCCTCCGCTCTGCTCCCCATCCCCTCCGCTCTGCTCCCCATCCCCTCCGCTCTGCTCCCCATCCCCTCCGCTGTGCCCCGCATCCCCGGCTGTGCTGGGGGCTGCTGCCGGCTGGGGAGCAGGCGGTGAGGGACTGGGGTGGGGAGGAGAGTGGGGTGGCTCCTGTCCCTGGTCAGGGGAGCCCAGCCCACCCGACACGGCCGGCACTGCCATGGGGGCTCCCGTGATCCGGGGATCTCTTGGGGCGGAGAAGTTGGCAGTGGCAGGTGCAAACAAACCCTTCTCCCAGCCGGTTCCTTTGGTTCCCGGCAAACCTGGCCCCAGGTGTGCCATTGTCCCCTCCCCGTCTCGCCTCGCAGCCAGCCCCCAGCGGGCTCTTCCCAGCTGGGCGAGCTAATGACGGCTTTGGCGTTTCCACGGGACTTTTTCAAAGGCAGTTCCTGGGCTCGGAGCTCCGTGCCAGCACGCCTGGGCTGGGTTAGGGCAGCAGGCGGTCCCTGCAGGTCTCGGAGGGCCCTGCTTGGTGTTGTGGCTGGTCAGGATCTCTGGGAAGCTGCCGTGTCTCGGGTCGGGCAGCGCGGGCAGAGGTGGGAGCAGGGGCTGATCCTCAGCCTTGGAGTCCCCGGCAGTGACCTGAGCCCCTGGGTGAGCGCCCTTGGCACCGCACCGTGAGCTCGGGGTGGCTCTGGGGATGGATCCAGAGCTCCAGCCCGAGCTGCCCCCGGGGTCCTGCTGGCCTGGCGCTGCCTCCCTGCAGCCCTCCCTGCCCACCTCCCCCCGCTGCTCCGGGGTCCAGCCCCTGCTGCCTCAGTGTCTGTTTGGTGGAGAAATACCAAAGGGTCCTGATGATGTTTGAGCATTGGAGGCGTTGGTGCTTTCATTCTTTTCCGGCCATCTCCAAGTAAACACAGGGAAATAGGAATTTGCTGTCTTCCTCCTTTAAATAAACCTATTTGTGTGTGGGCGGGGAGGGCTTGGCCCCTTGGATGTCTTTCTTTGTGTGAATCTTTTCCTTTTTAAGCAGAAAATAGTGCCTGCCCAGCCAGCTGGGCACTGACCCGGGGGCAGAGCTGCTCCTCTCGGAGCAGGGATGAGCCTGCCCTGCGTGGGGGGGTCGGGGCTGGGCGCAGGGACCCCTTCCTTGCCGGAGGAGGAGGCCAGGCTGTGCCAGGAGGAGAAGCGCCAGCCCCCAGCAGTGTCCGTGCTCTTTTTCTCTCCCCATGGTCCTGGGGGACTTGTGGGTGACCTGAGGAGGCGGTCCGGGGGGAGCAGGGCTGGAGCTGCCCGCTGTGTCCCCGGAGGGTTTCTGTAGGTGCAGAGGCTCCCGTCCCGGTCTCTGCTGCTCGCTGGCTCCCTAAGGCAGGGAGGGGCAGTGCCAGCCCCCATCCCACCCCTTCCCGCAGGGAATGCTGCCCCTGCTGCCCCTCAGACGGACCTGGGGAGAGGAGCTGAAACTGAGCGAGCCAAAAAACTTCTGTGTGCTCCGAGCTGAGATAGGCTGGAGCACGGCCCGCTTGGTGCCTTGAGCTTTTCCTTGAGGAACCGCCCAGGCTCTGGAAGAATAAACCCGAGTCCGTTTATTCAAGGCATAAAATCTCCCCGCAAATTCTTGAGCCGGGCTGCGGATCCCGGCCTTTCCTGCCGGTGGGCCGCGAGGTTTGGTGGGGAAGGCGAGGGGAGCTCCGGCTTTGGTGTCGCTCCTGAATTCCCGGGCCGAAGCTTAGCGGGGAGGTGATTCATAAAGCTCCGCTTGTTCGGGAGCCTCCCCGGCTGTGCTGAATGAGCGCTGGCAGCTCGGGATGCCTGGGATTGCAGCCTCGGGTCATGTGTGGGAAACGCCGCCGGCTCCCGGCCCCGCCGAGCGCCCGCCCCGCTCCGCCACTCCCGGGCACCGATGGAAAACTCATTTCCAACATGCCTGTTGCTTCATGCTCCCTGGAAAAATCCAGTGGGCTCCTCCCTGCCCAGCCAGGAGGATGTGGGCGTTTCCTGAGCTACGGAATGAGCTTTTTTTCCTTTAGAAAGCACAGGAAAATATAAAAATAGATTTTTGGCTTTTTTTTTTTTTTTTTTTTTTCTATTTTTGCAAGGAGTTTGAGGTCTGTGACATTGTTTCCAGGAACGGCTGGGGCTAGCTGTCCCGCTTGGGGAAGGCTGGCTGGATGAGGTGAATGTTTAACTGGAGGAGTCCCAGCAGCTCCCACCCCGCTCTGGCAGGTGGCTTTGGGTTATCGCTCCTGGCAGGAAGCTCCGGAGGGACCGGAGTCTCCTGCAGCCAAGCAGCCACACATTTCCCCAGCTCCCTTTGGCATTGCTAAGCCTTAAATGAGTTTTGCAGGGTCACCGGGAGCCCTGGCCAAGCCTTTCCGCCTCCCATCCTTTCTTCCCAGAGCAGCGGGGGCAGCAGGAGGTTTCCTGTTCTCCCATCCCAAGCAGGAGGCAGGCACACGTGCGGCGGGCTCCGGCTTTTTGGGGGTTTTGGGGGAGTTTTTGGGGAGCTCTCCACACATGTGAGGGCGGGTGGGAGGCTGCTGCTCCATTTGTTTGGAAAGGGGTGTCCTGAAAGCAGGTGGGAGTCACTCAGCAGCTCCCCCAGGCTGAAAGCTGCCCTCCAGAGTTGGTTTGCCATTGGAATTCCAGAGGGGGATGTGGACACATCCAGCTGGGAAGCGAGGAGGGCCCAAGGGCAGCACTGCCAGGCCCTGGGACACGGCAGGACACGGGTGCAGCCGGGTGTGAGCTGCTGTCCCTCAGAGCACGGCACCGCCGGGCCAGCCCGGCCAAATTCAAGCTGCAGAAGCCGCTCTGCAATTAATGAGTAACTGCTGTCCTTGGCTCCGGGCAGGGAGACGGTGGGGCAGGAGAGGCAGGAGGGCTGGATTTCCATTCCTGCCGTCCCGAACAATGGAAGCAGCTTTTCCAGTGCAGCCGGTGCACAGCCCTGGCTCTCCAGCTCCTTGGGAACTGCCTCCTCCCGGCTCTGGGAGCGTGAGTGGAGCTCGCAGAACGGTAACTAAGGATGCTCCACTTCCCTGCTCCCCACACAGAGCCCTGCCGGGGGGAGGGAAGCTGAAGAACAGGCTGATTAGCGTTCGTTTTTCCCTCAGGAAAAAAGCACGGGCTACAGGAAATGATCTGTGGGAGTGAGGAACAGGGCGGTGCGAGCTCCCCTTGCTCGTGTGTCCTGGGCTTTGCTGGGGCTCCTCCCAGTGTGCTGCTGCGGCTGCTGCTGGGGCTGTGGGTGCTGCAGGCTCGGAGCTGCTAACCCAGTCCTGGGCACCTCAGTTTGGTGCCTGGGTTATAGAGAGCCACGTCCCAGCTTCTAGGCAGACAGGGATCCTCGTGCTCCCATCCTCCCTCCTGGTCCCTGCAGGAGCACAGGGATGGGGAGAGGTGAGGGGATGGGACTGGAAAGGGAAGGCAAGGAAAGGCGAGGCAGGAACGCCCAAGCGAGAAGTAATGGAAAATCTGTCACCACGGTGTTGCAATCAAACGCAGAGCCTGGAGCGTGAGCCGTGGTGCCACTTCTGGTTGTGCTGGGGTGGTGGTGCCCACCGCTCCTGACAAGGGCCCCGAGGCTGCCAGGGAGGTGATGGTGGGAGATAGGTCCTGGCACAAGGATGGGCAGAGCTGTCCCACCATCCTGCTGTGCACTTGCTGGTGGGGAGCACCAGTGCTGCGGCCCCAAGGGAGACCCTGAGCATCCTCAGCCCTGGGCCGAGCCCTCTTGTAGCTGTGGGGGGCCAGCAGGGTGGGGAGGTGAGGAGCCATGGGACAGGAGCTCTGACAAGCTTGGCTGCTCCAGCACTTCCCAGAATCCTGCTCCTGCTGAAACGGGCCAGGAAACTGTCTTGTTCTCCCAGCACTGCCTGCCAGAGGTGACATCTCAGTGTGCAGAAGGAAGGAACAACGTGCTCTGACCCAGCAGCTACCCAGGGTCTGGTTTGTGTGTGTGCCTGCCTGTGCCCGGCTCTCCCTGGCCGCTCTGCTCCGGCTGCGTGGCGGGCGAGGGGAGGGCTGCAGGTGGGGCTCTGATTTCTCTGGGGCACAGAATATTTTCTTGGCAGTGTGGGCTGCACCCCCTGCACCCCCTGCACCCCCCGGGGTCCTGCCTGCCGTGCAGGGCTGCTGTGCAGCTGGAGAGCAGCTGATTCCTTGGGCTCAGCCCCAGCTGAACCCAGTGCCCGGCTGGGAGCCCCACTGGTACTCTCCAAGCTGCCCAAGCTCCAATGCATCCCAAGGCTGCTTGATGAAGCCCTGTGGAAAATGGTGAAGGACTCCAGAGGCTGCCCTGGCCCTGCAAACCAGAGCAGGACACCGGAGGCTCCCGGCCAGGGAAGTGCCTGGAGCAGCGAGGCTGTCGGAGGAGAGGAAGGGAGCAGCAGGGTGGAGGGAGCAGCGCAGTGTGTCAGGGCTGTGCCTGGAAATCAAACATCCTTCTTGAGCTCCTCGGCCAGGCGGGGGCTCGGATCCCAGGGGAGACCTTGTCTCTCCCCTTGGCTGGAAGTGGGAGCCCCCCCAGGATATTCCCTGTTCCCCCCGGCTGCGCTCTGCGGCAAGGCCGTACTGAGCTGGCTTTGTTGCACACTTGGAGGGAGCCCAGCAAGCTGGAGGGCGGCCTTGCCTTGCTGCAGAGAAGCTAAATATAAATGTTTGGCCACAAATCAGGGTGTGGTGTAACCGTCAGCATCGGCTGGGCCTGGGGAGGGCAGGTGGGGATGGGCTGAGGGGCACGGGAAGGCAGTGAGGCTGGGATACAGCCTGGCATGGCGAGGGCAGGAAATCCTCCACCTGTCCTTCCACCTTTTCCATCTCCTGGCCACTTTGTGAGGAGCTGGAGAAGGGATGAGGCTGCTGGTTCATGGCTCTTGGCTTTGTTTCCAGCCTTTTCCCAGACTCCTTTCCTTGCTCCTTTCCTTCTTCATTCCTTTGTGTCTGCAAGTGCTTTGAAGAGCACCTACGGTCTGACAGCATCCCTCTCTGCCAGGGATGCCTGTCGCCGGATCCCTGTGGGGATTTGGCATCCTCACTGCCAGACTGGCCTTTGTCAGCTCTTCCCCTGCCCTCCCAGGGCTGTGGTCGGGTGGAAGGGGCACAGCCCAGCCCTTTGCAGAGACGCAGCTGCAGCTACGGTTCCTTTTGCCGAATAAGCCTGGGAGCAGCACTGACGTCAGGCTGTGGAAATACCTGTGCGAGGGCCTGGGGCGGGCTCGGTGCTGCCGGCGGCACAGAAACTGGGAGGAGGGATGCGCTCTTCGCATCCTGAGAGGATGCGCCCACCTCTGGCCCGTGCCAGCTGCTTTGTCTGGGCACGGTGGGTAATTAAGGGCTGAGCCGCGTTGTCTCTGGGGTGGGGCTGCTCTGGAGCCATGAGATCAGTGTGCCTTGACAGCCCCCTCGGCTGCTTGCCTGCTCTCTGCATCCCAGGGATGGGCTGCATCCCCTGACAGAACAAATCCCCCCCACAGCTGCAGCCAGACGCGAACCCGGCTGTGCCTCCGCTTCTCCTCGGGGCTGTTTCCCCTGGGGAGAGGTTTCTCATCCACGGGCACACAGGGCTGGCAAACCCCTGAGTCACACACACGTGGCAGAGGCCAAATCCCCGCTGCTCGCAGCCTTAGCCCTGCCCTTCCAGGGCTGCTGGTTTAAATTCGGCTGGCTCAGGGCTGAGTGTGCCCGGGGGTTCGGAGGGGGATGCGGAGATCATGGGGCTTTGGTGGCAGCGGCTGGGAGCAGTGGCAGTGCCCTGTGCCATCCCTGCTCGGAGCAGGACCCAGCCCCGGGATGCTCCCGCAGTGCCGGGTGACCCCGGCGGGGCCGGGGTGAGGAGCGGGGCTCCCCCAGCAGCGGGAGGATGCGGCCAGAGCCTTTTCCTCTGGAGCTGATGCAATAGCGGAGCAGCTGTGGCCGAGTGACAGGAAATGTGGGCGCTGGTCCTTTCCCTCCGCAGTGATTTATGGGATGGTGTGGCCGCAGGCTGCTGCCCTGGAAATGGGCTGGGGTGGCTCCAAGCGGCTTCCTCTGCTCGGAGCAAACAATGCCTTCTGGAAAGGCATCCCGGCTGCGCCGCTCCCGGACGCATCCCCCGGGAATCCTTGTTTGCAGGCAGAGGATGCCGGAGCAGCCCCCGTGCTTCCCGGGCTGTCCCGGGATGACCAGCCCCATCCCCTGCCACGGATCCCTCCCGCTCCGCGTGGCCCAGGGATGCATTGGCAGGGGCTGCATCCGTCAGGGAAGAGCAAGGATTTCCATCTGCTGAAATAGTATTGTGTGTCGGGGGGGCACTGGGGGAGAATTTTGTATGGCGGGAGCAGGAAGGAGCCGGTGGGGGCTGTGGCCAGCTATAATTGCCATGGCCTCTGGAAAACATCCGCCGGGAGCTTCCTCCTTGCTTTGTAGCCGCGGCCGTGACGGCGCTGGCTCGGGCAGCGGGGGGAGCTCGGGGCGGCGCAGCCGGAGCACAGCCTGGCCTGGCTGTGTGTGCATCCACCGGGACAAAACCCAGGTCTCCTTTGGCCCCGAGCCTCCTGGCTCGGCTTTCAGCCCATCACGCTCCGTTTCCCTCCCTGGTCAGCCGGGGAGGAGCCCGTTCCTGCCGGGAGGGCTGGGAGGATGCAGGGCTCCCGCAATGGCCCCAGGGCAGTGCGGTGCTGGGACCTCCGTATTCCCCTTGCTTTTGGGGCATCCCTGGGGCTGTTCACCCTGCGCCTGGTTCTCTGCTCCCAGAGACAATGAGGGCTGCAGAGGAAAAGGAGCCCTGGCCCTGGACCCTTCCTCCAGGGGCTGGGGACACATGGGCCCTTCTGAGCCCCTGGGCTTGGAGCCAGCAGGGATTTGTCCCGGCAGCTTGGGGTGGGCAGGCACAGACCCCTGGCTGTGGTGGGGCATCCCTCTGCCCTGCTGCCCGCTCCTCCTGCCTGGGTTTGGTTCAACAGCCTGCGTGTCACCAGCAGGAGGTAGATTTGGAGATTTCTCCACCTGATGCGAGTCCCCGGAGTCCATCTTTCCATCTTCCATATTTATGCTCGTTTGGGGACACTCTCAGCTGTCTCCTGTGCACCCTGGTGCAGGGACTCTGGCTCGGCCTTCACGCTGCCCCTCCCACCAGCGGCAATCCTGCTTTGCCCTGGCGTGGAATTTTTGGGTGCTGATGCCATTGTTTGGGCTTATCTCGGCCTCTTGGCATGCCCCATGCAGCTGTTTGCCTTGGGAGGAGGGTGGCTCTAGAAGCCAGGACCTGCCCTTTGGGGAGCTTTTGACCCCCATCGTGACTGGATGCAAACAGGTGACACTTGCTGAGGTCCTCAGGGGACATCTCGGAGGAGGTCTTCTCACGGAGCGGGGCCGGCTCTGGTTGCGCTTTTATTTGCTTGTTAAATATTTTATTTGGCTCTCCTGATTTAGTGTTACGGTGGCTGTCACGGGCTCACTCTGTTTTCCAGCTGTCTCTGCACATGTGCAGTGCAGAGGGAGGGCCAGCAGGAATCCGTGGGGGGCACAAGGCAGCCCCCGGCCGCCCAGGAGCTGGGAGGGAGAAGGGATGGGGATGCAGGAGGAGCACTGGCAGCCTGTGCTGCCTCCCAGGGTGCCCCTGGAGACCTACAGCTCAGGGCCAGACAGAAGGATTCTATTTGTATTCATACAACCAGTCTCAAAGCATTTGCCCTCCCTGAATTTGCCCACGGATGCTTTGACACAGTTTCCAGCGCTGGCAGCGAGTTGCTCTGCAGGTTTGTGGCCGTGAGTGGCTGCGCTCTCATCTGCACGCCGTGCCTGTTCCCGGGCTGGGGGCTCGGGGGACAGGTGTTTTCCGGGCCCAAATGGCCATCCCGGGTGACAGCGGAGGCTGTGTGTCCTCCCCTCCTCCTGGGAGCATCTCTGGAGCTGCGGCTGAGGCTCCCCGGGGAGAGGCAGTGCGTGGGGGGAGTGTGACTGCACGGGCGGGGTGGGCATGGAAACGCCAAATATTTGAATGGGAGTGAAGTCATTCCGGGTAACGTGGTGAGTAAAAATAGACCCGGGGAGCAGGAGAGAAAATGCTACCGCTGCTGGACTGGTGCGTGGGAAAGCTCAGCTGGGGGATGGCAGCTGGGACAGGGTTAATCTTCTTCTTCGCAGCTGGTGCAGTGCTGTGAGGGGTCAGAGGCTGGGGGTTTGTGCCCAAGCCCCACAGGGCTGCAGGGGCCTGGGGGCTGTGGCAGAGTGGCTCCTGTGCACGGCGTGAGCAGCCCCCCGTGGCTCCACAGCCTGGCTCCCCTCTGCCGGGCAGTGGCTCACCCCTCTCTCGTGTCCCCTGCAGCCGAGAAGGTGTCTTCCCTGGGCAAGGACTGGCACAAGTTCTGCCTGAAGTGTGAGCGCTGCAACAAGACGCTGACCCCGGGTGGGCACGCTGAGGTAAGGGCTGCCAGGGCGGGCAGGGTGGGAGCTGTGCTGGCACATCCCGGTGGGATGGGAATCCCAAGAACAGGGCTGGGACACATATCTGATGCCGTGCAAGCCCAGGAGAACGCACTGCGGCTTCAAACGCTGCTGCTGCAGCTCAGGGTGCTCAGTGCACAGCCCTGGGCGAGCCACGGAGTGGTGCTGGCAGCCCGTGCGCTGCACTGCAGCTGCCGTGGGGCTCGGCACGCCCCAGGAAGCACCCGGAGCTCTGGGCAGACTCGTTCGGGCACCGCACAGGCTTTGGAGCCGTGTGTGTGCTGAACCTGCGGTCCAAAACCCCAGGAATGGGGAATGCCTGGGTTGCCACGGCAACGGGAGCTCGGCGCTGCTGCTCTGTGCTCCCTGCAGCTTGTGCTGGAGCGCGATGCTGCTGCCACTCCCCAGCGCCTGGGAGTGTGAAGGCGCCCTGCTGGAGCTCGCAGCTGCCCGGGCTGAGCTGGATTTTGGTTGTGTCCCTGTGTGACACCCGGTGCCTGGGCTTGCTCGGCACCTGTCATTCCGCGGTGTCACCAGCTCCTTAGCTTGGCTCTAGCAGGCAGCACGGCCGGGCAGCAGCGGGCACAGCCGTGCTGGTGGCCCCCAGCGAGGTGGATCCGTGCTCCAGGCCGGGTTAAGCCCGGAAGGTTTGCTGCTTCTCCATATAAGGTTGGGTTCTGTTCCCATAGGGGACGGCAGCCAAGCCCCACTGACTGTGCCGGCAGCAGATTTGGCCCTTCCCTGCTTTTTCTCCCTCCTTTTGAGGAGGCTAGGTTGGGAAGGTGTCGTGGGGAGACCAGTTCAATGTTTACCCTCCCCTGTGGCACGGCGGCACCGTGAGCACACTCATATTTCTGTTCAGCAGTCTCATTGCCCTGCCCCACCTCCGGCTGTGCCAGCCCTCGCCTCTGGCACGGCACCTCTGCCCAGCTGCCCCCCTGCCCTTCGTGGGCAAGGAGTCTGGAGGGTGGAAGGTGGGGCATGGGGCAGGAACATGGGGCAGGAACACGGGGCAGGAACACGGGGCAGGAGCACAGGGCAGGAACATGGGGCAGGAGAATGGGGCAGGAACATGGGGCAGGAACATGGGGCAGGAACATGGGGCAGGAACATGGGGCAGGAACATGGGGCAGGAACATGGGGCAGGAACATGGGGCAGGAACATGGGGCAGGAACATGGGGCAGGAACATGGGGCAGGAACATGGGGCAGGAGAATGGGGCAGGAACATGGGGCAGGAACATGGGGCAGGAGCATGGGGCAGGAACATGGGGCAGGAACATGGGGCAGGAGCATGGGGCAGGAGCACGGGGCAGGAGCACGGGGCAGGAACACGGGGCAGGAACATGGGGTAGGAACACGGGGCAGGAACATGGGGTAGGAACATGGGGCAGGAGCACAGGGCAGGAGGTGCTGAGGGGGCTGAGCAGGCAATGGGGTGGGATCCTGCCTGAGCACAGGCTCCCAGGGGGTTTCTGCCCAGGGCAGTGTGTGCTGGCCCCCTGCTCCAGCCACAAGTGCTCTTTCTTTTCTCTTGGACTGGGTTCCAGCTGGCCCATGAGAAGCGGCTGTGGGCAGTTCCGGGGTTTATCGCCCGCCTCATGCCTTCCTGCGATAATGGCCCAGACGATAGCGGGGTCGATAGCAGCTGGGCTGGGCCCCGAGCCCCTGCAGGGCCTCTGATCTCGGGCCAAGGCGAGGGAAAGGCCAAGCTCAGAGCTCCCACCGAGCACCGAGAGCAGCCTGGCTGTGCACAGGGTGCTGAGGGGCTGAGGCCATGCCTGGTGTCCATGGCTGGGCTTGGTGTCCATGGCTGGGCCCGCTGCCCGTGGCTGAGCCTGGTGTCCATGGCTGGGCCCGGTGCCCATGGCTGGGCCCGCTGCCCGTGGCTGAGCCTGGTGTCCATGGCTGGGCCTGGTGTCCATGGCTGGGCCCGCTGCCCGTGGCTGAGCCTGGTGTCCATGGCTGAGCCTGGTGTCCATGGCTGGGCCTGGTGTCCATGGCTGGGCCCGGTGCCCATGGCTGGGCCTGGTGCCCATGGCTGGGCCTGGTGTTCATGGCTGGGCCTGGTGTCCATGGCTGGGCCCGCTGCCCATGGCTGGGCTGCAGCCCCACTGTGCACAACAGCCCAAACCCCCCGAGGGCTCAGGTTGGGTTAGGGTGGTGCTGCAGACCCAAAAGTGGGTGCATTTTAGGGTGTAGGCATGGCCATGGTGGTCTCTGAACACCAGAGGATGAAGGTGCTCCTGAGGGAACCGCGGTGGCCGCTCAGCATCCTAACGCTGCCCTCTCTCCCCAGCACGATGGGAAGCCCTTCTGCCACAAGCCCTGCTATGCCACACTCTTCGGCCCCAAAGGTATGTCCTGTCCCCCCTGCCTGTGGTGCTCGGGGCTGTGGAGGGGCCAGGTCCCCTCACCTGGTCCCCTCACCTCGCTGGTGGCCTCAGCAACACCCCAGGAGCCAGGCTAGCAGGGGCTGAGCATCAGGCCAGCAAATTGCAGTCCCAGGCCTGCTGTCTGCTTGTGCAGAGGGAGGGAAGAGCTGCTGGAGGGAAGGAAGGAAGGAGGGAGGAATCTATTCTGACAGCTGCCCCCTTTTTTTTTTTTTTTTAATACTTAAGAGGACAAATTCCCATTCAGACAGAAGGTGGAGTTACTCTCCTATCCCAGCTGCGACTGGAGAAAGCCTGGGTCAGGAGAAAGCAAGCCGGGGCTGAAGTGCAGCAGTGACCCCTGGCTCAGCGGGCTGGGGGAGGTGGGACAGGGGCCTGGGGGGACGATGGAGACCCCAAGGGCTCCCAGGCCACCTCTCTGTGCCCCTCTGCAGGGGTGAACATCGGCGGGGCCGGCTCCTACATCTACGACAAGCCACAGATCGAGGGGCAGACGGCTCCAGGACCCATCGAGCACCCGGTGAAGGTGGAGGAGAGGAAGGTGAATGCTGCACCTCCCAAGGGACCCAGCAAAGGTGAGGGGCAGGGCATGACAGCCTGGCCCTTTGCCATGTGGGCAGCCAGTGCAGAGCCACACGTGTGGTGACAGTGTGGGCTGCAGGGTTTGTGTCCTGGCTGAGATGTCCCCCCACTTCCCAGGCATGTGTTCTCTTTTCTTCCAGCTTCCAGTGTCACCACCTTCACCGGGGAGCCCAACATGTGCCCACGCTGTGGCAAGAGGGTCTATTTTGGTAAGGTGGTGAGCAGCAGTGCGTGCCTGCCTCAGGTGGCATGGCCCGTGGGGTGGGGTGGCATGGCCCGTGGGGTGGCATGGCCCGTGGGGTGGCATGGCCTGTGGGGTGGCATGGCCCGTGGGGTGGCATGGCCCGTGGGGTGGCATGGCCTGTGGGGTACCACAGACCCACAGGGTGGCATAGAGCCACAGAGTCCCATGGCCCATGGGTCTGGTCTCTGTGCAGGAACCCTGGGGCATGCAAAGAGGCCGGGAGTAGGGTTTGGTTCAGAGAGGGATGTGCCCGAGGGGCCTTCAGGGAAGGGTCCTCTTGGATATACTCCTGGCTGCAGGGATTTATCTGCACTGTGTCCCCTGCTGTCACCTCCCACGTGGCAATAGCTGTCCTCAGCCATTCTGTCACCTGCGAGGCACCAGCAGGGTGGGAGGGATGTGGGTGGCTGGAGATCCTGAGGGCTCTCCTGGGGTTTTGTGATATGCCCATGGGGAATGCTCCCCCTTGGCATGTGGGCTCGTGTGACCCTCTCTCCCTGTCCCACTCCAGCTGAGAAGGTGACCTCTCTGGGGAAGGACTGGCACCGTCCCTGCCTACGCTGTGAGCGCTGCAGCAAGACGCTGACCCCGGGGGGCCACGCCGAGGTAAGGGGGTGCCAGCCTCAGAACCCTGGCCTGCACACCTGGGGATGCCAGTGGGGCACGGCTGGGACATCCCAGGCTGTCCTGATGGCACCCACTGCCTTTGCAGGAGGGCAGGGCTGGGAGGAGCAGCCCCTCAGCCTGGGGAAGCGCTGGGGTTCTTGGGGTGTCTGCAGGGGAAGAAGAGAGGTGCCCAGCAGGGTGGACGTGTCCTGGGGACTGGATTTTCCCTGGCCCCCAGGCCAGGTGACAGGTTTTTCTCTCTGCCCCACACAGCACGATGGACAGCCGTACTGCCACAAGCCCTGCTACGGGATCCTCTTCGGCCCAAAGGGTGAGTGCCTGGGGCACACGGGGTGGGCACCCAGGCCAGGGGCACGAGCCCTGTGTGGGCTGCCATTCTCAGTGCTCGTGCCACCACCCAGAGGGGACATCCTCTGGAACAGTCACCCGTGTCCTCACCCTCCTGTTTCTTGCCCGGTGCAGGTGTCAACACCGGGGCCGTGGGAAGCTACATCTACGACAAAGACCCCGAGGCGAAGAACCAGCCCTAGATGGTGTCCTCACCTGCCTGCTGCACGCTCTGTGCCCCTCCTGTACTAACCTCCTGCTCCCAGCCCGAGCAGACCCTCACCAGGCTGGCCACAGAGCTGTGCCCTCTCTGCTGTCCCCACTCCGGGCAGGACAGCCCTGCCTGCCCCTGGGTTATTATCATAGTCTCTAATATAAGCTTCAGTGTTTTAAGGCAAAGGTAGAAGGTGTCTCTGGTGGTTCCCAATGCGCTCTGCCCTCCCCAGGCCCCCCAGCAGGGCAGGTGTGGGGATGTCCCTGTGTGCAGGGCACGGTGGGTGGCACCCAAAGGGGTGAAATGATGGGGGAAAGTGGTGGCAGGAGTCCCACCATGGGATGGTGCTCCATGCTGTCCCTCAGTGCTTGGGGGTGCCCAGCCCTCTTCCTCACCAGCTGTTGGAGATGTGTGACACCTGGCAGCACTGCCCTTCTCCTGGCCCTTGCCAGGCTCCACGCCCTGGCTCTCAGTGTGCCTGGGTCCCACAGCTGGCCCCGTCCACTGTTAGGTCTGGCACCTCCCTACACCCCAATCTTTGAATCCCTGCAGGTGCAGCCAGGCAGGTGCAGCCAGGCAGGTGCCCCAGCCTGCTCTGCAGGCTGCTTTAGGTTGGTGGCACAGCCTGTGCCAGGGGGCACCTGGCAGCTGCAGCCCTGGTGGAGGGGCCTCTCCTCTCCCCACCTTTGGAGGACAGAGCGCATTGGGCTGGTGGCCTGGGCAGCGGGGCCTCCCCCTGCTTCCCGGAGCCAGAGGTTTCTCTTTGTTGTTGTTTATTTATAAGCAGTTGTAAATGTGCTCCTCGCTTTGGAGAATGACACGTGCCCCCATCTCACCCGTCCCTCTGTGCACACCCAGCCCTGCTGCTGCCCAGCAGAACGGGGAGGGGGCAGGGGACCCCCGGGGCAGCAGCCCTGGGTGCCAGCACCCTGCTCTCTTCAGGCTCCCTGTGCTGCTGCAGGGCTGGCTTTTGTTATTTGCAGACAATAAAGGTTTTGAGAGATGTGTTGTGCAGCTCAGCTCCGGCTGGAGGTGTGGGAAGCCGTGCACACCTCACAGCATCCCTCGGCTCCCGTGACAAGGTGGGACCCTGCTGCCTGCTCCTACCCCAGCTGCCTCCTCCTGAGCGGCTCCAGCTGAGCCCAAGCCCCTCCTGAGGAGCTGCTCCCTGCTCTGCAAGCACAACAGGCTTGTAGGAAGCTGTGCTGCCCCTGCAGATGGGATGGGGTGGGGTGGGATGGGTCCTTCCCAGCTTTGGGGAGCGGGGAACCAGCAGAGAGAAGTTAAAGAGCAAGGTGCCATCGTTGCCCCCAGCCCAGCGCCTGAGTGGGGCTGCCACGGGGAGAGCTCAGCCTGGCAGCAGCAGGGCAGGAATGCAGGGTGAGGGCATTGGCCAGCCCCTGGGGTCCCCAGCCAGATCCCAGGCCTGGTTTTAGACATCCAGCTATTCCCCCTCGGAGCTGGGCGTCTGGAGAGCCCAAAGCACGGAGCTTTGGGCTGCCAAGCCAAACAGCACTTCTGGGAACTGCTGCTCGGGCTCGTCCCCTCTGTCACGCTCTCACAGGAACCCCGTTGGGGCTGTGTGCTGGCTGTGTCCCCCTGGGGACCAGGCATCCCCCCAGGATGTCTGCTGGGACACACAGGGATGTTGCTGTGTGCTGAATGCAGCCCGCAGCAGGAGAAGGGGCTGGCAGCCAGCCACAGCCCCTGGCATTGCTGCTGCCCGGGCACAGCTGGGAAATGCAGCGGGCACAGCTGCAGGACAGGGACAGCAGCGGCATTCCCGGCTCGGGCAGCCGGCAGAGCTGTGCTTTGTCCCTGCTGGCAGCGATCCCAGCCGCACAAAGCCCTTTCCCAGGCACAGAGGGCTCGGCAGAGCAGCTCCCGGGTCGGGGAACGGGCTCAGTGTGTTGGTGTTTCGGTGGGGTTTCCATGGAGATTTGACCCCGCGGATGCTTTAGGGACAAGGCTGCGATGTAAATCAGAGCGGTGTCGCTCTGCCAGCCCCTCCCCTGACCGCAGCTGGGTCCTCACAGCCAAAATCTGCCAAGTTTGCCCCGTGCAGCAGCAGCGGTGCTGAGAGGTCCCTGTCCCTCATCCCAGTGCAGCTGCCAGCAACGCCCTCGGCACCAATCCATCTCCCCTTGCAACTCCTATTTCCCATCATTAATTAATGAGCTTAATATGCCAGCCTCTCTGCTAGCCTGTGGCAATCCCCTGCAGCAGGGAGCTTCCCTGATGGCCTGCACAGGTTGATTTTTCTCCCCAGCACCTACCTGGCCCCATACCCTGCACCAGCCAGGCTCAGCAATGCCAGCAGGATCCCACCATGGGCTGGCTTTCCCCTCAATTTCCTTTCTCTTTTTTTTTTTTTTTTTTTCTTCTTCTTTTTAATCCTTTCTTTTCCTCATGAGGGTTTTGCTGAAGGAATGCAATGAAATTAAAAATAGACAAAATTCAGCTCTGCTGCATGAGAGAACAGAGAAAATATCACAGCATCCTGCCACACCAAAGGGCACAACCTGGCTGCTCAGCTCTGGGTGGGAAATGTCCCCCACCCTCAGGTAGGTGCAGGGGCTGGGCACCTCTTGTGACACAAAGTGTCCCGCAGGTACAGCAGGGTGGGTGTTAAGAGCAGCTACCTGAAGGCTGCAGGAGGGCTTTGGGGTCCTGCACAGGATTGTCTGTGTGTGCTGAGGGGCTGGGGCTGTCCCTGTGCTCGTGGATCAGCGTGGGCACCAGGGCACACAAACAGCAGGGTGGCATCTGCTCAAGCAGGGAAGGCAGCTCTGGCCTCTGATCCTTGGTGCATTTTTGTATTTATTTTTGGGAGGCCTATGTGAGCTGAAAGTGCTCCTTTACTTGAGGCTTGGAAAACATCCTTCCCCTCAGGGATGTCAAATATTTTATTTTTTTTTTTCAGCTTGGACTTGCTAGTGGGATAAAAAAGTCAGAGGGCCCTGGTGATTACAGACATGCTCTCCAGGGTACAGATGAAAATAGAGAACAAAGTGGATGCAGCTTTGCTTGGAAATCCCCCAAGCCCTGTGAATTTGTCCTGGCCATTCCAGGTTCCCTGGGAGCCAGCAGAGAACTCACCAGCTGGTGAAACCACTCTGGGTGATGGGTGCCAGCCTGGGTGTCCCCAGGCTGCGGGAGGAGCAGGATTGTCACCTAGCAGAGGTTCTCAGCAAGGCTGAGGGCACCTGTGCCACCAGAAATGGGGCTGCACAGCTTGTGCAGGACCCAGGAAAGGGATGGAGAGGGCACAAAGGCTGCTCCTAGAGAGGCACAGCATGCTGCACACCTGGGAAACACCAGGAAAGGAGTTGTAGGGGTAGGAATGAAGGGGGCAGCCCTGGCCACGTGTGAGCCAGTCCCTGCAGGGAGGGGAGATGCAGCCACCACGCTGTGGAGGGGTGCTGAAGGCAGGACAGGATGGCTCTGGGAGAGATGCTGGGGGCCAGAGCAGCACAGCCAGGCAGGGAATCCAGGCAGATTTAAAGCATTTGCTGGGAAGTCAATAAGCAGGAGCCAAAAGGGATGAAGTGCTGGAAGATGAGATTTAAGATGGGATATTAAAAGTCACACAGTAAGCACAGCTTGTTTCCACAAGGGCCAAGAGCTGGCTCAGCTGCTCCCTGGAGTCAGCAGAGGGGCTCTGCCTGGCCTGGCTTGGTCCCAGTTAAAGAACTGGGTGTAAATACTGGAGAGGGTGTAGGGGAGCAGGCAGTGATGAAGCAGGAATGGCACAAAACCAAGCAGAGGAGGAGGATTTGAGCTGTAAATCCCCCTGCCAGGGCAGTGCCCTGGAGTGTCACGCAGGGAGAGCGGCTGGTGCAGGCTCCAGCTCCCCCTCACCTGTGTTGCTGCCTGGGGACATCCACGAGGGAACAGCACAGGATGCAGGCAGAGCTCTTCATCAGCCTCTAGGATTTCAGGGAGGGTGGGCAGCGGGGAACCATCCCGGGGAGCTCAAGGGGCTCCTGGAGTGCCCTGGGGCAGACTGCTGGGGAGGAATACCTGTGGATGGAGGTGTGCAGCCTGCTAATGGCTGTGCAAACCTGTGACTCCTCCTCCTCCTCTCTCCTGCTCTGCCCAGCCCCTCTGTCGTGCCTGGGGATGTCAGAGCACAGTAGTCACATCATGGCCACGGCATGACCACGCTGAGCAGTGTGCTCACAGGGAGAGCAAACACTTCTGCACCCCTTTGCCTCACCCCCAGTGAATTTTTAACCTGGAATAAAAGGTGTGGCGTCAACAGCCTGGACCCAGCCCAGGGCAAGCAGAGCTGCCAGGGAGGCTGGGGAGGTGATTCCTGGCACAGATCCACTGTGAGTAGCCCCTGAGTAGTGTCCACAGTCCCTGGCAGCCCCTGTGTGCATCTCCCTGGCAGGCAGAGGCAACGCCTCCTGGACACCGGGCAGCTTTCCAAAGCAGCAGACTTTGCTTCCTTGACAATCCTGGCTCCATTTGATAGCCACAATAGAAACAGCCAGGCCACGCCAGGAAAATGTACCAAATCCTCCCCCAGCAGGATTTAGCCAGGAGGATTCCCTGGGCTGCCGCTAATGGAAAGCTTGCTGAAAAGAGCAGATGGCAGCGGAGACTTTGGCCAGACTGTGCTCAGGGAGACCGGGGGAGCCTGGGTAAAATTGGAGGAGATTTTCCACGTCCTGGCAGGGTTGGAAAGGCAGGCAAGAGCTGCCACACCCTTTAGTCCCAGGGATGGAAGTCACAGCCGTGTCCCTGTTATGTCCCCAGGTGCTCCATCCAGCCGGGAGCTGGCTCGCGGCTCCGTGTTTGTTATTGCTCGTGCAGTGCAACATTAACCCCGTGGCCATAATCCACACCCTGCCTCTGAGCGTGAGAGCTGAGCTGGCAAGGGGCTGTGGGGGCAGCCAGCTGCCTGAAGTGGCCTGGAAGCGTTTTTACAGCTTCAGCTGGAAGCAGCCATGTGATTGCCCGTGCCACGACGGCTCTGCCCTGTGTCCCCAAGGGCAGCGAGCGCGGATCGTGGGGCGACAGCGAGCGTTTCACAGCCTCAAACCATCCAGCACCAGTGTGCTGGTGTGTGTGCCACAAACCCACTGAGTGCCCCTTTCCAACCAAGCCCCTTCCCCAAGCCCTCCACTCCTGGAAGGCCTTTCCTGCTGCTGTCTCACTCGCAATTACTCCCGGCCAGCGCTCGCCTGTCAGCTCTATGAAGACGTATCCCAGAGGTTTTCCTTGGGGTGTAATTCGCCCTGACAGCCGCCTTCGTGCCGTTGTTTTCCTGTCTGTCTGGTAATGGGATTAGCCACGTGCAAATCCGGAGGTGATGGGAGGGGAGTGGGGGGAGAGCCCGCCAGCCCCCGTTGCAGGGCACACCGAGCAGCTCCGTGGGCCTTTTGATGGGATCACGCGCCTGGCAGCTCCCCCCAGCTTCTGCCAGGCTTGCTTCGAGCCATCCTGTAATTTTCTTGTCAAATCAGAGCTCCACGCTGGGTTGTGCAGCGCATATTTTACGACAAACAGTCTTGGCTGGGAGGGCCTTTGACTTGCACAAGTGTGGGCTGAAGCACGGCCAGGGAGGGAGATTTTGCAGGACTCGCAGTTGTGAGAGTGCTGGGGTGATGCTGGACCGGGGTGTCACTGGTCACACCCTCACTGGTGCATCCCCTCCCTCTGTGCAAGGGTGCTGGGGGCTGTGAGAACTCTGGAAGCCCCTACCCCACTCCAGCAAGGTGAGGCAGGAGGGGGAGCCTGGAGCTGCTGCCCGGGCAGATGGGCCAGTCTGCTGCATGGAAATAGCTGGTTTTTTCTTGCTGTGTTAGCAAAACAAACCCAAATCGGCTTATGTCACCTCCCTGCCTGCAAAAATGCCAGTGGCTTTTCCAATTGTTACTGCAGTAGTCACCAGCAGCCAAGATGCTTGAGGGAGACTTGGGCAGGCAGCTCTGGCACACCCAGGAGCTCTTGACTCGCAGCTCTTGCCTCAGGAGTCAAGGAACTCTTGGGGGC